AGAAAGAATGTGGAAGTGGTCTGAGGCATATAGAGTATATGCCAAGAACACTACCATATATGGCATCAGCTTTGGTTACCAGAGAAATTTTCTTAGTCATTAGACCATATAACAGTTATATATCATTTGTAAGTCTTTAGATATCAATTTGAGAATCCTCCAAAAAAAGGAGCAAAGAATGCGTAAGCTATGTGTTGGCAAAAGTAATTTATATTAAAATTTTGACCTGCCTGTGTAAGATTAAGTGTGAATGTCCTAGTGGTGGGTTTTTAAGTCTTAATCCAATCTCTGAGGTTTATTTTTCCTGTTTCATCGCCTCTCTTCCACTGTAGGAAGATTGCAGAAGGATGTAGATTAATTGTAGCATTTCACTGATCCTCATTCCTGTGACTAGGCACAATAGAAATCTGCAGAGCATGGAGATTCATTCATTAATACTAGCTTATTAAAGGAAATAGTCTTTGTTCCAGTTAGATAATGGCATTCTACAAACTCTGGGAAACAACTAACTTTTTTGTTTTGTTTTTAGCTGCTTACTACAAACGCTTTAGAAGTTGTTTTTAAAATTTGGCAAACATCCCAGCTAATGAAAATAGTTACATTCCTTAGAAATAGGGAACTAAGACTCCTTTTCAAAAAATTGAGTTTTATTTCAAACTAGCTACAGAGATAAGCCTTTTTTTTTCAAACAGTCAAAAGAGTCGGTCTCTGTGAAGAGATGTAACTCTTTAGGTTTCTATTGTCCCTTCTCATCATTTCAGCAAGTGAAATGGTAAATCTGGTGAGCAGATCTTTCAGTGCATATGCTGCACCAAACAAAATGTCAGTCTGTATAGCACCAAAAATCAAACTGAAAAGTAAACCAAAAACCCCCAAATACCCTATGGAACTGTTGGAGGCATATAGGTGGTACAACTGGCTGTAGCTGTGGTACACACATGGCTACTTGTCATGTCACTTTCCATAATTATTTACTGCAGAATGATTGAGAGACTTTTGGTGCAGGCAGCCATTAACCTCCTGCTTCCTTTGTTACCTCTGGGTCACTTTGCAGTAAATTGCAGGTCTTTTAAGAGATTCAAGCTTCGGTTTTCTCAAAACAAAACAATTATCTTGTCTTATCTGAAAATGCAGGGTTGTGGGCAAAAGAGGCTGGTTATAATAATGCCCTCATATTGAGTGGTCTGTAAATGGCTGCACACTTCAGGCACTGTTTTTGCTGAAGATGCTTAAATATGACCTTGACTGGCTTTAAAGGGGTGTAGAATGTAATCTGCACAAGGTGACTGTGCATCTACCTTGCTCTTGAGGTGGATAAAATTAAGAAGCTGGAGTGTGTAAGCCATGCACATAAGTATTCTTCACTGAAAATTTTGTTTTCATTTTAACGCAATTATGTACTTTGTCCAATGCACAACTGATCTCTCAGTAGATATTCATTTGAAAATCGTGTGGCCTTGATCAGTGAGAAGGGAGAGGAAAGAAGTGACTTTTTGCTTATATGAAAATGACTTGTTTGCTGAGTGTTGTTCTATAACACTCTAGGTATGTTTTTGATTGTATCCTTTTTGATTGGGGAAAGTTAATGTTTTGATCCTGGAGCTAATTCAATTGAGTTTTCTAAGTATCAGAATTGCTCTGATGAATAACAAAGTTGACAGCTTTGATGTCCAATCTCTGTTTATTTTTTAAATATAGTGGAGTGAAATCCCCACTATTATGAATTCTTTAAATCAATATTAATTTAGCACACCTTAAAAGTCTTGTGCATAAGTAAGGCCTGTTCAGAGAGCAGACCTTTTTGCTCCTTTTCCACAATTGTGAAAAAGTGTCAAGTGTTTTTTGCATTGTATATTTCCATTTTATCCCTGACATATTTCTCAAAGATAAAGCACTTTTTGATCATGAAATGCATAGGATCTTTGTGTGATGTGGATCATGGTTTCTCAGGCTCCCCTAGATATTCTGTTTATGAATATTATTCTAACTTGATGTCAGGAGAGTAGAAATCTTTGCTAACGTTAGAAAGTTTGTATTGTTGATTCAGAATACATTTTGCTAGTTTCCAATGGATGGGAGAGTAAAAAATGCTGCATTCACAATTTAATAAGTTACTTTCCCTTAAGCCTTAAGGTAACTTTTTCTTTTCTGTCAATAACAGCACTGAAGTTACAGTAAATGAATGAGATTATCAGTTTTCAGGGTTGTTTTTAGAGTACTGTAAATCAATTAGGTATCTTCTGAAAGAGTTACAATTCCCATTCAGTATACTGGATAAGGGGTGTAAGGGTGGGGGTAGGGCAGGGTGGGGGGAGATAGTTTGTATAAAAGAAAAAAGAAAATAAGAACCATGTTTACCTTAAAATACAGACAAGAAAAAGTCCATATGTCCCATTTGAAATTCCATATGCAAGGTGGAAATGACAAATTACAGCCTCATTTCTTCTGCTTTAATTTAGAAAAAAAGTATTCATTTTTAATATTAGCTTCAGAAGTTTCTTGAGATAACTGGACTCTTGAGTAGCAATTTCCATTGCCATATCTGACTTGACTGTGTAAGTCATCCTCAGACCTTATTCTTAAAACCTAGTTTCATTACTGGAACATGTGCAATCCACTTTTCAGTACTGAAAGTTAAATTCAGAAAATGGAAAAATAAAATTGCATCAGCATTGTAAAGATTTCTTGTCTTGGGGATTTCCAATTGCAATGTGTCCCCCTGAATCAAGCAAGGCCTTTGTGAATGCCTTTTGTATTTCCTAATGCAGTATGGAATATGCTGTCCACTTCTGTTCACAGTCTTACTCTCGTTTGAGAATCTAACTCATGCCTTCTTGGAATTCGACATTCCAATTGGGACAGATAGAACCATGTTAAAACGAGAAGATGCCACATTGTTAGCTTTAACACAGTAAACTAGTAAAAGGGAGAGCACAACTTTATTAGAAGCTAAGCTAGCATGATAATGAAAGTTTTAACTCAACTTTTCTAATAGATTTTTGAATACGGGAGCAATTTTTATTTTCCCCATGCTATTTCTGCTATCCACTGACAGATAAGAGAGGGCACACAGTCGGGCTGGGAAGGTGGCTCAGCAGCAGAGCGCTTGCCTTGCATGCTCGAGGCCCTGGGTTCGATTCCTCAGCACCACATAAGCAAAAAGAAAAACGCCAGAAGTGGCACTGTAGCTCAAGTGGTAAAGCTCTAGCCTTGAGCTGAAAGCAGAGGGACAGCGCCCAGGCCCAGAGTTCAGGCCCCACGACCGGACACCCCCCCCCAAAAAAAAGAGGGCACACAGTGAAATGAAGGTCCAGAGTTGTGAAGAGAAAGTGATAGATACATTAAGTGGCCACTAGCATTTTGCAGAAGGCATGAGTTTGTTCTTTTATCCTACGTCCAGCATCTCTTCAATGGCTAACTTTTTCAAGACTCACTGAGACCATCTCTTAAAGGCAAAATGTTTTGTCTTGTGTTGCTGGATCAGGCTGGTCAGAAAAATATGTGCTTGGAAATAGAAGGGCAAGTGGATTGTTTCTTCCCTTTTAACATTTCTTCTTGGGAGAAAAAAGTACAAGAGACTCAAAGAAAATGAAAGAACAGGATTTTATCACTAATCACATTTGGAGGTTTTGTTTTAAATTGATAATAAGCATAAATCCTTTTCTTCTACCATGTCACTCTTCTGTGTAAAAAAGCTCTCTGGAGCTGGGCATTTTGGAACATGCCTGTAATCCCAGGTATTTTGGAGACAGAGATAGGAGATCATGGCCCAAGGCCAGCCCTGGGCTATAAACAAAAGACCCTATCTGAAAAATAAAGCAAAAAATAATACCAATAATAGGACTGGGCGTGTGGCTTAAGTGGTAGAGCATTTGCCAAGCAAACACAAGGCCTTGAGTTCAAAACCCAAAGTTCTACCTAGGGGAAAAAAAAAACTTGGATTCTTAAAACCCTATAGATTGGACAAAAAGTCTAGAAACTGACTTTCAGTTAGTGTAGACACACTTTTTACAGTCTATCGTTTCGCACATTCCAATAGGAGGCAAGTAGTATTTGAATTATTTTTCAGTGGCATCAGTATCAAGACTATACCAGTGTATCTGAACTTTTTTCTGAAGTCCTAGAACATCTATATTATTAAGCATTTTGTTTTCCTTTTGGACTTTCATACAGATGTCTTTCTAAAATCATTTGTTAAGATCACCTGTTCTGATACAGTGCTACATAGCATGTTTTTGTTCTGTGGGAATCTTCAGAGACAGTTCTATCTATTGGTAGCTTTGTTAGACTTGGCTCTTCACTCCAAAGCGGGGGACTCATGTCCTTCCAGTAGGGAATCTACAAAGTTATTTCAATTAAAACCAAAATTTGATAGCAGGAGACAGCTTCCTGATCTAAATGTACAATTAGAGTTTAGGTTGGCAATTACTTTAAAAGGTTGTTTTTTGTTCTTTTTTTTTTTTTTTGGAGAGGGTTGTCTTTGATCTCTGTAAATACCAACAAGCTTATACATTGTAAGCCAAGTGCGTATGCCTATGTATGAATTTGTAGAGCTGATTTCTGCTTCAAGTGAAGCTGCACCTTTCATTTTATAAAGTTCCCTCCACCCAGAATCCTATAAATGTTGTAAATAGAACATGGAAATTGTAGTAGTAGGATCAATTTGAGAATATCTGCTGATAGACCAAAAAGTTCATTTTTTTAAGTACCTTGGTTAATTAAAAAGTAAAAAGATTATTTCTCTTGCTTATTTTTGAAAAGAAGAATGCACTTTAACATAGAGCTGCATGGGCAATTCAAACAAATCTGTGAAGTGCAGTACCCGTCCAGAAATCACACTTCCTGAAAGCCGTTCAAAAAGCAGAGTCCAGACGGGCTGTTGATCTCACTGCCTGTAGGTTGAAGCTCAGATTCTGAACAATTTTGATACTTGCAGGGCTGCCTCAAAAGAGCAATGTGAATACAGCCACAAGCTTCGGACAGGCCTGTAAAACAGCGGGTCCCGTATTTACCACTAACTAGCAAAACTGACAGAAAACTCATAGAAAAAGTTAAGAATCCTTCCTGCTGGTGTGCACTCCTTACAATAGCAGACTTTTGCAAATGGAGTTTTACAGTCTATATTTAAAGAATTGTATGTTTGTAACAAAGTTTGCGGAAAAGTGAAAAAAAAAAAGAATTCTCCTTGAGGCAACAGCTCCCCATTAGGACTACCTTAGCCTGTCATGAGGAATTGCTGGTCAATAGGGACTGTCACCCAACTCTACTGCTAGCCCCTATATCCCATGCCCATCGAGGGCCCAACTACCCACCCTGCCTGCCTGAGCAGGTGACCTGGTTCTACTTGCCAGAGGAGCCAAAGCCGAAGGAAGTAAGAAGGTCATGGCCACACAAAGGCCACCCATGCGTGTGAGCACATGGGCTGCAGCCAAACCTATCCAAGGAGCTCTCATCTCAAGGTGCATTTCTGAACCCATACAGGTGAGACACCTTACCTTACCACTGTGACTGGGATGGCTTTGGGTAGAAGTTTGCCCATTCTGATGAACTGACCAGGCAACACTAGTCGTGCTGCCATTCCTGTGCCACAAGTTCAACAGCCTTGTCCAGGTTGGTCTCCTGGCTTGACCCATAGAGAGGGTCTTATCCAGATAGGTCCCCTGGCCTGAAACATAGAGACTGCCTTGTCCAAGTGAGTCTCCTGGCTTGACTCAAAGAGACGGCCTTGTCCAGGTGGGCTCACCTGGACAGACACATAGAGACTGCCTTGTCCAGGTGGGTCTCCTGGCCTGACACACAGAGACGGCCTTGTCCAGGTGGGTCTCCTCGCCTGATGCATACAGATTGCCTTGTCTAGATGAGTCTCCTGTCCTGATGCATAGAGACAGCCTTTTCCAGGTGGGTTCCCTGGCCTGATGCACAGAGACACTGTTAAATCCCTGACTGTGGATACAGAGTCACATACTGCCAGTAGAAAATCCTTCATACTGTCTTCCCATGTGAGAGAGCTCATGTTGGCAAAGCACTACAACCATGGGAAAGTTTCCAATATCTCTTGTGAATGGATAATCAAGAGAAAGGAGGAATCCAAAGGCAAAATTTAAAAAACAAAATTGAACAAATGGGTCTGAGATTGTATCGGCTATCATTGCAATTCTAAATCAACTTGAGTATTTCTGGATTTACAAGACACCACCATGGGGATTACTGGAAGCTGTGGATAATGGGGTGCAAATTAGATCCATCAGTTGGGGTGGGGTGAGGGAGAGGGAAGACCAGAATTCCCTTGAATTTGTAATGATCTCAGAGGAAGGAAAATCCATGGCCAAAGGTGACAAAGGAGTTTTACTAGCTGGTCTATAACTGCATTGTCCTGGGCTACCTCAGAACTAAGAGCAGCTGCAGCCTCCAGGTGGCAGGTTTCTCTCTCTTTCCAGCAGGCCTCTCTATACCACAGGGCTTTCCTCTCCACAGGCCTGGCCTCTGCTCTGCTCCAGGAGGCCTGCCTCTTGTGGCCTTGTGGTGGTGTTAGTCTCACTCTACACCCCTCCCCCACTCGGCTTCTCACAGATTGTCTCAGATGCAATATAAATATAAAGAACACCTTGTATTCCCTTTGCCTTCTAAAAGCCATTATTTAGTTAGAAGAAGAGGAAGAGATTTCAGTACAGAATATGTGTTCTAATAGCCTAAATGATGGTGCTTGATGAGTCTTGGTTCTAAAGGTACAAAAGAGGAAGCCAAAGTTCTCAAACTGCTGTATGCTTTGACAAGGACTATATATATATATATATATATATATATATATGTTTGGGGGGGTGGTCTGGTCATGGGGCCTGAACTCTGGGTCGGGGCACTGACCCTCAGCTCTTCAGCTCAAGGCTTGCATTCTACCACTTGAGCCACAGTGCCACTTCCAGCTTTTTTCTTTTTGCTTATGTGGTGCTGAGGAATCGAACCCAGGGCCTCAGGAATGCAAGGCAAGCGCTCTACCACTGAGCCACCTTCCCAGCCCTGACAAGGACTATATATTTGTCTTCTGATCTATATGTATGACTAAGTTATACTTGGTTTACTTCTTTAACATTTTTTACGGAGACAGTCTGTTATGCAATGTGGTTTCAAAGGCACAATAATTTGTGCAATCGTTTATTCCTAAGTATGCCTTAAGCAGAGCTAACATGTTACATAGTTCTTCACCTTAATAAATATGTAATATAAATTTAACCAAACTTCTATTTTGTATATTTGCAAAGTACAAAGTAAAAAAATTGAACATTTTTTTGGAATTTGTATTTTGCATACTCAAGATGAGAATTAAGTTTTAAACAAGCCTATAATATTTTATGTGAATAAAATAAAATGGGCACATTTTACAATCGATCTCCCATGACTGTGGTGCCAATTGCCCATTCCCACGGGGGATATGCAGAATCCCCCTTCCCCCTGTAGGGCAGGATTAACAAATCACTCCAGGATCCTCCTGCTGACCTGACCACAAGGGTCTGTTGGTCCACTGGAGGCAAAGAAGTCTTCCATTTCACACTGGGGCTGCAGTCCAACTGAAAGCTCACATGTAGAAGCCACCTTGACTCCAGCGTTCATTCCATTTCTCTTCTCTTCCAATTAACTCTGAACCCACTTCAATGTTTCTGGGTCTTCCAAGGTACTGTACCCTGCTTTATTAACTGCAGTCTTCTCAAGTTCTTTACACAGGACACATCAGTAAGCACCCATATTCATGAGCAAAAACTCCACTAGGAAGAGACAGTGCTATCTGAGCTGCATGAAATAGGAAGGTGTAGGCAGAAAGGTCTAGGTTTTGTGCCATGCCACCTCCTTCAGAGTCTGCATGAGATATCATGCCAGATAATGCATAAGCTTCAAGGAAGCATGCCTGCAGGAAGGGAGTGTTAGTTCAAGGTTTCCCATACACTTGGCTGCACCTTTATAGCCTCTACCTTTATTCTTACTATATTCTTCTTGGCTGTACATTCATTGCCTTTATTCTCGTTTTGGCTATTTTTCTATTGATCCACGAATAGAGCATGTTGTTTCTTTCCAATCCAATGGAGACGGCTTCTCTGAATAATAAAGACAAAAGATTAAATGTGGGCAATGCCACAATCAATCTATCATTTGATGTGACACTGCCTCCAGGAACTCCTACAATTTCACAAGCAGTTTTGTGTCTCATTCATAGTAAATATAGAAATTTAAAATCTCTAGATATGTTACAACAGGCAGAATTAATGAATTAAACTAAGCCAGGAGTTATCCGAAAAGCACAGAGAGTTCTAGAAAAAGGGACCCCTGATAATTAAAGGAAAAGAAAAATTTCCCAACAGTTATGACTACTTTTAGTCCAGCTTACATTATAGGGAATAGATGGTGATTTCCCACAAAATATAAAGTTAGTGACATCACATTTCCTGAGCTGACCCATGAACCATTGCCTTATACAGGAGTTTACAAAGATGAAAATAGATGGATTAATGTAAAAGGAAAAAGGGTGTTTTGGAACTCATTAGATTTTATGCAAAGATTAAGTAGATCTGGACCATTATGGTGTTTATTATCAAAACAACAAGATAGTTTAAAATAATAATTAGAAATTTATGTGAACAAATATTGGGATTAACATTATAGAAAACGGAGAATGCCTGATTCAACCTGAAAGTGGTTTTTAGGATGGTTTCAAAGGGGCTTGAAAATATATGAAAAAAATAAAAAGAGTACAATATATGTACAGCCCTGTCTTAGGTTTGTTCATTATTAAACATAAAAAGGCTGACTAGATGACGCATTGTTTCGCACCATTTAGCTTAAACAGTTGGTGGGATAGTAATCAATTTTTATGTAATCCATCAATGTTTTTCTTTTCCTAAAAATTGATTACTTGCTTAAATAAAAAAAGAATCTATGTCACAATCACACACTGTATGAAAATGTTAATTCTCCTCAATAAAGATACACTCAGATGCAACTCTTTTGAGTCTGTGTCTGTCACTTCGCCTACTCCTTGCCCACCTATCCCCAGATCCCTGTTCCATTGGTCCCAGTGCTCCGGCAGAGCTGGTCCGTCGCAGTTTTGTAAGCTGAAGTCAGAAGTTTCCTATACCTACTGCAGTGTAGCTAGCAGCATTGTCAAGTTTTAATTAAATAAACTGAAATCAAATTGGGCCCATGTATAAGATCAAGGTGCCACAAGCTCATATTTATAGTTCCTTCAATAGGATTCAAGACATCTGCTACCAACTTCCACAGCCACTATATTAAATGGACTAAATAAAATCTGTGCATGATGGCTCAAACCTCACCAGGAACAGACCAGTGGAATTTCTCCCAGCCATGTCTCTAGTTTTTACTCCCCTTGCTCTGTTTTCCCACATTAGAGCTGATAGAGAAAGTTAAACAGGGAGAAAAGATGACACTGGGAGACAGCAGGAATTCCAATCAGCTGCAGCCTATACCTACCCAGCCATGAGGATGCTCTTCTTCCCCCTGCACACAAACTCTGAGGAGAATTCTGCCTACCTGAGAAGGGAAAGGAAAAGAACTTGAGGTTAAGGGATAGTGGAGAGAGGACAGAGGAAAGCAATCCAGAGACAAGAAGGGAAAACAGAGAGAAAGAAGACTAGAAATAACAAATAGCTTAATACAGGAAGTGGGAGAGAGAGCACTGGGGGGAGCAATCTACAATTCTGTAAACACCCCAAGTACCACTGGCAAGCAGTGTTCATCCTTCCACTATTGCTCCAGAATCCTCCTTTGAGACCAGAATTGAAGGACACTCAGTCAGTCATGTAAGGGCCACAAAAAATCACTTGACATGTGACAGGTCAGCACACATGTTTTTCACTGGATGCTCACAGCTGTCTGTTCAGCCCCGGAACAATGTCATAAAAATCCAGATGGCCCTTGGCTGAGAAAAAGGTTCTTGGCCCTTGTGTAGACGATAATAAAAGTGGAGAGGAGTATATGCTATTGATAACAGAGTCCGCTGCACTTTCACACCCTGCATGGTGGACCGTCTACCCAACTCCACTCACCTCACCACACTGGGCACCTCTGTTGCACAGCAGGAGCTGCTGGAACCTGGATGACGCTTGCATCATGGTCACAAGAAATGCTTCCCATGGATGGGAAGCACAAAAGGACCTTGAAGAATGCTGTGTGTTACTGTCTTAATAAAAGAGAATCTGGCAAGCATCATAAAGTAGCTTTTACAGATTTCCAAATGTGCATAGTTAAGGGAACATCTGATCGGTGAAATATTACTGTTAAATAAGCATTAGAAAACCCATTGTGAAACCCTGTGGAGGCACACACTTCTGCACCCCATGCTCCACCATGGCTGGATGCTGGCCTGCATGGATGGCACTAGATCAGAGCCCTTGGAATGTTTCTCCCTGGAGAAGATCTCAACACCTAGCATCAAGACCCCAGCCAGAGCAGGGGTTCCTCACAAACTGCAGCAGACACACTGCTGGCTTTCTTCTCAGTCAGAAGTACATCCCACTAGGATAAAGGGGGATCACAGCTGCAAAAAAAGAAAACAAGGCTTTGCTCTGGCTTAAACCACATGGGCAGCCCTGTACTCTACTGATATGTTCTGGCCCTCGAGCCAAACAGATTCATCTGTTTTGGAAAAACCCAAGGTGGTTTATTTCCAATAGTGGGGATGAAATCCAGATCCTCCCACATTCCAGATAGTATGCATCCCCAACCCACAGACACAACCCTTTCCACTCATTCCCACATGGTTATCCCACTGGCATAACCATGGTCCTGTTTTGCACCCAGCTGCCCTGGTTTTAGGGTAGACAGTCTCCTCATCTCCACTCTGCACTACTGTGACAGAAACTTGAAAGCCCACACAGACTTGAAATGTTACTTCCTGGCCAGCCACAACCCTAAATGCACTCATGACAACATTGATATTCCAATGCTTGCTTACAAAAATTCAAAAAGAAACTGAACTGACTAAATGGATGAAACAAGCAAGACAAAGTATATTTCAAGTCTCAGCATCCAAAACACCAAGCTTCCATTACTTGTAGATGACTTAGTAGCAACTCCTACTGGAATATCTACAGAAATGCAGTTAGACTGCAGAAAATACCACAGCACAGTGAGTGACTCTCTTAACTTCAATTTTTAATAAGTCAAAAAATACATAAAATCTGATTTAAATGAAACTACTACTAAAATTAACATTACAAAACTTTCTAGTCTAAAAGATGACTGGGGTGTGATACTCCAAAATTGAACAGCTAGCAAGATGGAAAAAAAAAAAACTAAAAGCCAGAGGGATCTGAATGTCTTCCACAAAGACTCTTAAACAATTCCTGTCAGTTAAAAAGCAGATGAACAGCAGTTCACTGACAACCAAGGTGGTAGCCTGATCCTCCTCCCTCACTCTGGGAGGGCTATTTGGTACCCAGAACTGAAAAGGAGTTTGCACATGTCAAAAATTTATTGCTAATCTTCCTCAGTTAAATGCTTCCTCTCCAAGCGATGACTGCCTCTTGCTCTACCTTGATGCCTCTGGTGCCAAGGAGCAAACCCAGATGCAGGTCATCTGACAGTGTTGGGCACATCTCAAACGCCTAAGAGGTTCAGGCTCCTCAAGTCCTTTGACAACTCAAGGGATGGGCTCCTCCCCCAAGTATTCTGGCTTAACCCTATCTCTCCCTAAATCAAACCAAGTCACTGCAGTGGTCTTTCTGTTCTTTCTGGGTAACGTCTCTTTTGGAGGTATACTTCACCCTTGATAAAACACTTTTCAATGAAGCCTGTTTTAAAGCTGTACCTCATGCCTCTACTGACAACAGTACCAACAACCCAGAAGATTCCCAGCATGGATTCAAGGAACTTTGATTTCCCGTCACTCTAGGTTGGTGTGACCTTCTATAACACTTCAGGTTTATGGAATCACAACCCTTTTGAATTCAAGCTAGACCACTCAGCACAAGTTGCTTTTCACTGCTCTGTATGTTACCCCATAGTGTAGATGTACCATGCACTCATTTCCTGTCACCTGCAGGCACACATCTGAGTATTCCACGCTTTGGCTGATACTACAAATAAAGCTCCTCTAAACATCTTCAAACAAGTCCTCATGAGGCCACACTGTAGTGTGGAAAAATAGTTAGGAGCAAAATAGCTATGTTACATTCTATGTGCACAAAAAGCTGTCTATTTCCAGAGTGACTGTCTGTACCATTTTCTATTGCTCAACAGCAATCTGCATGTTCTGTATTATTCTCTGCCAACAGAGAGATGATCACTCATTCATGGTGTCAGTCTGTGTCAGTTGGCACCTCTCCTCTGGGGTCTGTGACTACACATTACAACCTGGCAGAAGTGAGATGGCTCAATTCCCAGAAGCTGCATGGTAAAGACAGAGAGGTGACCCTCAGTATCCCCTACATGGGCACACCCCAATAATGTAACATCCTTTCACCAAGCCCTACATCTCAATGATCTCACCCCTTCCACTACCACTATCAGTCTTTGAGGGACACTCATCCCAGTTGAGCACCCTGTGATCTTAACACGTGATTTCTCTAATGAATACTGCTGTTATAGCTTTTTGTGTCCTCGTTTAATATTCATATACCACATCTCAAATAGAAACTGTTTAAAAAAAAAGCTTTTGTCCTTTATTGGCAGTGCTAGGGCTCAAAATCCAGACCATGTACACTCTAGGCAGGTGCTCCACCACTGAGCCCCATCTTCTGCCTTTTCTAATCTGGCCTCAGAAAGTGCTGAGGACTTGAGTTCAATCCTCAATACTAGGAAAAAGAAATTATTATATGGTTTTTGTATACTTCTTCAGGCAGATAAATATGTAGATATAGACACATTGACAACAGGTTCTCTATAGTCTGTCCTTTTGCTAGCTCTCTGAGAGCAAACTAAAGTCCAATGCATCTTATTTTTTCCGAAGTATAATTAATTCATGTTCTGTATGTTCTTCTTGTCAAACATTAGTTTTCAGAGTTCTGGCTTCCCTCCATAGTCCCACTTGTCACGTGGAGTTATATTTGGTGTAGAGGCCACAGTTCAGGCTCATCTCCTTCCACACAAGTTGTGATTTGGATTAACCATCTCACTCATCAAGACATTTTGATTTTTTTAAAAATCAATGAACATTATATTCTTCATTACTTCTCAATTTTCCATTCTGTTCTATTCATTTACCTGTCTGTCAATGTCCCAAACTTTCATTGTCCTAAGCACTTTGTAACATTTTTTGAACTTGATCCTTTTCAAAATTATCCTGCCCATTCCAGATCCTATGCACATCTATAGAAACTTTAGAAATTGGTTTGTTCATTTCTATTCAAAAAAGCCAGCTAGGACATAGTTTAATAAACTGACACGCTGGCAGCTCTGAACATCCACTACATAAACATAGACTCTTATGATATGATAAGGCAGAGCCGTTCTGTGATCAGCTGCTACAACCCTTGAGATCTTAGTGATGACACTTGCTGTGTTTTGCTAAGCTGGCTGATGGTTGGTAGTTCATGGAAGTCTGAGATTGGGGCTGGACCCCAGACAGCAAAAGGCTGCATCAAAAGGCTGGGGCTTTTCACCAGGAGAAACAGAGGCCAAGGCAGAGTTGATCATCAGTGGCTCACATCACTGCTCATGCCTACATGATGAAGCCACCATGAAAACCAAAAATCCGGGGTTCCGCCTGACTCTGAACTTAGCTAGAAATTCCTTGTGGGAAAGAGATGAGGCTGAGGAAGGCTTGTAAGAGGCAATCACAGTCTTCCTAAGAAAGCTGCATTGGCCAGGAACTGGTGGCTGAAACCTGTAATCCTAACTAGCTACTCAGGAGACTGAGATCTGAGGATCAGGATTCAAAGCCGGCCTGGGCCAGTAGTCTGTGAGACTCGTGTCTCCAAATAACCACTCAAAACCTGAAGTGGTGTTTTAGTTCAAATGGTAGCTCTTGAGCAAAAGAGCTCAGGGACAGAGTTCAGGCCCCACAACAAACAGTAACAAAGCCAGATCACAAAGGCAGCAGGGCCACCTATTGGTAGTAATACCTCAGAACCCACAATGCTGGGCAGACTACTCGAAATGAGGGAAAGACCTAAAAAGACCTAATAAGAGGTGCTGTACTCAAAACGAATGGTGACCCTTGACAACTAAAAATAAAAAAAAAAAAAATAAGTAGAATGAAAGAGAGCCAGGTGCCAGCAAGCCCACACCTGTAATCCTAACTACTCAGGAGACTAGATGTAAGAATCATGGCTCAAAGCCAGCCCAGGAAAGAAAGTCTGTGAGACTCCTATACACAATTTCCCACCACAAAAGCTAAAAGGGGAGCTGTGGCTCAAGTGATAGAGTGCTAACCTTGAGCATCAAATCTAAGGGAGATTGCCCAGGCCCAGATTTCAAGACATAGTACTGGCACACGTAAGTATGCACGCACACAAACACACACACACACACACACACACACACACACACACACACACACACAAAGACACACAAACCCATCACAAGGCCACATTCCCAGGCCCCTCATGAAGCTTCTCTGAGGT